TCTAGTTCTGTTCTAGTTCTGTTCTGTTCTAGTTCTGTTCTAGTTCTGTTCTAGTTCTGTTCTAGTTCTGTTCTAGTTCTGTTCTAGTTCTGTTCTAGTTCTGTGCTAGTTTTGTTCTAGTTCTGTTCTAGTTCTGCTCTAGTTCTGTTCTAGTTCTGCTCTAGTTCTGTTCTAGTTCTGTTCTAGTTCTGTTCTAGTTCTGTTCTGTTCTAGTTTTGTTCTAGTTCTGTTCTAGTTCTGTTCTAGTTCTTTTCTAGTTCTGTTCTAGTTCTGTTCTAGTTCTGTTCTAGTTCTGTTCTAGTTCTGTTCTAGTTCTGTTCTAGTTCTGTTCTAGTTCTGTTCTAGTTCTGTTCTAGTTCTGTTCTAGTTCTGTTCTAGTTCTGTTCTAGTTCTGTTCTAGTTCTGTTCTAGTTCTGTTCTAGTTCTGTTCTAGTTCTGTTCTAGTTCTGTTCTAGTTCTGTTCTAGTTCTGTTCTAGTTCTGTTCTAGTTCTGTTCTAGTTCTGTTCTAGTTCTGTTCTAGTTATGTTCTAGTTCTGTTCTAGTTCTGTTCTAGTTCTGTTCTAGTTCTGTTCTAGTTCTGTTCTAGTTCTGTTCTAGTTCTGTTCTAGTTCTGTTCTAGTTCTGTTCTAATTCTATTCTAGTTCTGTTCTAGTTCTGTTCTAGTTCTGTTCTAGTTCTGTTCTAGTTCTGTTCTAGTTCTGTTCTAGTTCTGTTCTAGTTCTGTTCTAGTTCTGTTCTAGTTCTGTTCTAGTTCTGTTCTAGTTCTGTTCTAGTTCTGTTCTAGTTCTAGTTCTGTTCTAGTTCTGTTCTAGTTCTGTTCTAGTTCTGTTCTAGTTCTGTTCCAGTTCTGTTCCAGTTCTGTTCTAGTTCTGTTCTAGTTCTGTTCCAGTTCTGTTCTAGTTCTGTTCTAGTTCTGTTCTGTTCTACTTCTGTTCTAGTTCAGATCGAGTTTGGTTCTAGTTCTGTTTAAGTTCAGTTCAAAGTTTTGCAACATCTAACGAAACAGTGTAACAATATATCAAACCCATTAAAATTAAACACCTCCACTTAGATAAAAATAAAACCATGTAATCAGCTTAAGAAGAAATAGCCGAGAAGAGAAAAAAACTAAATAAAATCAACTACATACTTCAATCAAAAGACAGACACACTAAGAGACAGATAGACAAAAATGCAAAAAAAAAAAAAAAAAACATTCTCATATATTTGTTAGATAAATGAACAAGTCTGACAGATAGATATTTGAAATTTTAAGCGCCATTATTCCAATAGATACGAACGATACGATAGACGACGACAACATTATTATTTGTCTATAATAAATTGTCTTTTAATAATTGCACGCATTTGTTAATTTAAGTGTTAATTTATGTTGTTGTAATTGATTTTCTTGCTAATGCTTTATTTTTTTGTTTTTATTATTTTTTGCTACATTAAAGCTAAGCTGTTATTGTTGCTGTTGTTGAGATAACTTAGCAAAATTTATTTTTTATTTCAAGTTTTTTGTATCCACTTCACTTTAATTAAACTACTAATTGGTCGCTGTTAGTGGCAGTTGTTGGTCATTTTTTATAAATTTTTATTTGTCATTTAAACAATTTTAATTCATTTACAATCATTGTTTATTTGTCATATGGTGGTTGTGGCTTTTTTTCTGTTTTTGTTTCTTCCATACTGTTTTTATTGTAGTTCTAGTCCTACTATTGAGCTTTTGATACAGAAATAGAATCATTTTGTTGCTGATAGAGGAGACTCTGGTGGGTATCAATGTCGTATCAGTGTATGTTTTACATCGTATTCAACTTTATAGTTTAACTCTGCGTGATTACGAGAACATTTTTTTCCCGAAAGCCATATGTCCCTCCGTATGTCTGTCTGTGCATAGCAGCAGTCGCCGCCGCCGTCGTATCATCGTTGTCAGTGTTATTGTCTCGTCTGTCTGTCGAGGTGAAGTTTATAAATCACGCGAAAAATTAGCATTAGGAATAATTTCGTTTGCTAATTCTTGTTTCCTTAATTACCAAGAACATAGTAAGTGTCAACATGATTTGACCCCCATTGTTTGCTTTGGCAGGGAACACTTTTTTAAAGTGTTTATTGTGAATTTATTTGCATACGAGTATTAGCCAGTTGTAGACTGGTGTGCAATATGGAATGATTGGAATACAACACGATTTAGAATAGATTTTAGTTCTAGTTTACTTCCAATTCAGTTTTAGTTAAGTTCTAGTTCAGTTCAAATTCAGTTTTAGTTAAGTTCTAGTTCAGTTCAAATTCAGTTCTAGTTCAGTCCTAGTACAGTTCTAGTTCAATTCTAGTTCAATTCTAGTTCAGTTCCAGTTCAGTTCTAGTTCAGTTCTAGTTCAGTTCTAGTTCAGTTCTAGTTCAGTTCCAGTTCAGTTCTAGTTCAGTTCTAGTTCAGTTCTAGTTCAGTTCTAATTCAGTTCTAGTTCAGTTCTAGTTCAGTTCTAGTTCAGTTCTATTTCAGTTCTAGTTCAGTTCTAGTTCAGTTCTAGTTCAGTTCTAGTTCAGTTCTAGTTTAGTTCTAGTTCAGTTCTAGTTCAGTTCTAGTTCAGTTCTAGTTCAGTCCTAGTTCAGTTCTAGTTCAGTTCTAGTTCAGTTCTAGTTCAGTTCCAGTTCAGTTCTAGTTCAGTTCTAGTTCAGTTTCTAGTTCAGTTCTAATTCAGTTCTAGTTCAGTTCTAGTTCAGTTCTAGTTCAGTTCTAGTTCAGTTCTAGTTCAGTTCTAGTTCAGTTCTAGTTCAGTTCTAGTTTCAGTTCTAGTTCAGTTCTAGTTCAGTTCTAGTTCAGTTCCTAGTTCAGTTCATAGTTCAGTTCTAGTTCAGTTCTAGTTCAGTTCTAGTTCAGTTCTAGTTCAGTTCTAGTTCAGTTCTAGTTCAGTTCTAGTTCAGTTCTAGTTCAGTTCTAGTTCAGTTCTAGTTCAGTTCTAGTTCAGTTCTAGTTCAGTTCTAGTTCAGTTCTAGTTCAGTTCTAGTTCAGTTCTAGTTCAGTTCTAGTTCAGTTCTAGTTCAGTTCTAGTTCAGTTCTAGTTAGGTTCTAGTTCAGTTCTAGTACAGTTCTAGTTCAGTTCCAGTTCAGTTCTAGTTCAGTTCTAGTTCAGTTCTAGTTCAGTTCTAGTTCAGTTCTAGTTCAGTTCTAGTTCAATTCTAGTTCAGTTGTAGTTCAGTTCTAGTTCAGTTCTAGTTCAGTTCTAGTTCAGTTCTAGTTCAGTTCTAGTTCAGTTCTAGTTCAGTTCTAGTTCAGTTCTAGTTCAGTTCTAGTTCAGTTCTAGTTCAGTTCTAGTTCAGTTCTAGTTCAGTTCTAGTTCAGTTCTAGTTCAGTTCTAGTTCAGTTCTAGTTCAGTTCTAGTTCAGTTCTAGTTCAGTTCTAGTTCAGTTCTAGTTCAGTTCTAGTTCAGTTCTAGTTCAGTTCTAGTTCAGTTCTAGTTCAGTTGTAGTTCAGTTGTAGTTCAGTTGTAGTTCAGTTCTAGTTCAGTTCTAGTTCAGTTCTAGTTCAGTTCTAGTTCAGTTCTAGTTCAGTTCTAGTTCAGTTCTAGTTCAGTTCTAGTTCAGTTCTAGTTCAGTTCTAGTTCAGTTCTAGTTCAGTTCTAGTTCAGTTCTAGTTCAGTTCTAGTTCAGTTCTAGTTCAGTTCTAGTTCAGTTCTAGTTCAGTTCTAGTTCAGTTCTAGTTCAGTTCTAGTTCAGTTCTAGTTCAGTTCTAGTTCAGTTCTAGTTCAGTTCTAGTTCAGTTCTAGTTCAGTTCTAGTTCAGTTCTAGTTCAGTTCTAGTTCAGTTCTAGTTCAGTTCTAGTTCAGTTCTAGTTCAGTTCTAGTTCAGTTCTAGTTCAGTTCTAGTTCAGTTCTAGTTCAGTTCCTAGTTCAGTTCTAGTTCAGTTCTAGTTCAGTTCTAGTTCAGTTCTAGTTCAGTTCTAGTTCAGTTCTAGTTCAGTTCTAGTTCAGTTCTAGTTCAGTTCTAGTTCAGTTCTAGTTCTAGTTCAGTTCTAGTTCAGTTCTAGTTCAGTTCTAGTTTAGTTCAGTTCTAGTTTAGTTCAGTTCTAGTTTAGTTCAGTTCTAGTTTAGTTCAGTTCTAGTTCAGTTCTAGTTCAGTTCTAGTTCAGTTCTAGTTCAGTTCTAGTTCAGTTCTAGTTCAGTTCTAGTTCAGTTCTAGTTCAGTTCTAGTTCAGTTCTAGTTCAGTTCTAGTTCAGTTCTAGTTCAGTTCTAGTTCAGTTCTAGTTCAGTTCTAGTTCAGTTCTAGTTCAGTTCTAGTTCAGTTCTAGTTCAGTTCTAGTTCATTTCTAGTTCAGTTCTAGTTCAGTTCTAGTTCAGTTCTAGTTCAGTTCTAGTTCAGTTCTAGTTCAGTTCTAGTTCAGTTCTAGTTCAGTTCTAGTTCAGTTCAAGTTCAGTTCTAGTTCAGTTCTAGTTCAGTTCTAGTTCAGTTCTAGTTCAGTTCTAGTTTAGTTCAGTTTTAGTTCAGTTCTAGTTCAGTTCTATGCAGTGTGATCGACTAAATTTATTGAATTTTTGAATCACATCTAAGCTTGCCATCGTATTGACAAAAAATTGAATGAAATTAAAAAATTACAAATTAAAAAAAATTATAAACTCCCTCTGGCGGTAAGTTTACCAACATGTAAGTTCTTTAACATATATCAGCCTAAAAATATACAAGAAATATGATTTTAAAATGCAGCTAATTAGAAAAATATAATTCTAGCAACTGAACACATGTTATCTCTACAATTTAACGATAGATAAGACAAACATCAGACAATACAGTAAAATCTTAATATAAGTGACAAACACATGATAAAATTAAGAACACTTTTAAAGAAAAAAGAGCATTTTAAGAAAAATCGAACCAAAAAAAAATTTAAAAGGATTTTTCAAAAAAGTTGTTTAGACAATAGATTCATTAAAATGTTGTTAAGCTTGTCAAGTGTTTACTGTCTGATTTAAGCATTCAATGCGTCATAAAGCACTTTTTGCTCATTGTCGGTGTCTCAGTTTTGCGGACGGAGTAAACGCTACAACAACGTGTTTAGTGTGTTGTTGATGGGAGCGGACGACGACGACTTCTTTTGCTGATCGGTCAATTAAACAGTCTGTCGATGGTGTTATAGATCATTTACAGAATAAAATAAAAAAAGTAAACTTTTTTTCGTTGAATATTTTTTGATGACGAAGTTTTAATAAAACAAACAAACTTTGATGACATTGCTTGCTGCTGCTGTTTGCTGTTACTTTAGCCAAGAAAAGACCTTGAGGTCATTAACGTGAAATAACAAACGACAACAAATAAAATAATAAATCGTCTACAAATAATCAAAATAAATAATAGTGCAAAATTACCCGGTGCAAAGTGTGAAAAAAAAGAGAGAAAAATAATAAAACTAATAAATAAAGAAAATAATTGAAATAATTTGCATAAATTATCCAAAAAAATAATAATAATATATAAATAAAAAAGACTTTTTCAAAAAAAGGTACCAACAACTAAACATAAAGTGTAAAAATTCTTTTTACTCACAAATGAGCAAAAAAATGGGAAAAGAAGGAAAGAAAGAAAAACATGAAGAAGATACACACATAAAGTGAAATGGCCAAGTATCTCTGAATGAAAACCAACAAAAAAAGAGTGGAAAATTTAATAAACATAAACGGGAGAGAGGAGAATTAATAATGAGAGTCTGCTCTCCCAAGAGTTTCAAGATCATTGATAAATGAGGGAATAACTGAGTTACATTCTAAATTAATAGAATCTATAAATTAAATAAATATACTGTAGTGGTTATTTTTTACAATAAGACGACTATAAACACGACGCTAATAAGAATTTGAGCAACTAGTTTTTCAGTTATTTTTATTTAAACAATTAAACCATAAAATAGTTAAATTTTATAGTGGGTTTTTTTGTTTCAAAGTCCGTTAATTTTAACGACCCCATGCTGAAATTTTTTAGAAAAAAAAATTATTTGCTAAAAAACTTTAAAACGAGTTGTTAGAGTGTGAAGTGCAAACATGTGTTCAGAATTTTAATTGTGTTACACTGTGATGAGGATAGATAAATCATCTTCTCTTTTCCAGGGTTGCCATATATTTAAGATTTATAGTTTTCATGAAAACACATGGATATTTATATAAAATAAATTTCTGTTTTCGATTACTCCAAAAAATCTAAAAAAAAACAACCGCCGATCTTTTTACAATAGATACCAAGATGAAACAAAGGTCCTTCGGCCACCCGTTTTAGTTTTTGTTTATATTTTATTATTTAATAGACGATATTTAATATCAAAATTCCCGAACTCATGTCTGATATATTGATCCAAGATAAAATTTTAATTTTAAAACAGAGAGGTGTCACCAAATCTACTGCGGAAGATTATAAGCCTAACATGAATTAATCTGCAACTGATGAACTAGAACTGAGCTAGAACTGAACTAGAACTAAACTAGAACTAAACTAGAACTGAACTAGAACTAAACTAGAACTAAACTAGAACTGAACTAGAACTAAGCTAGAACTGAACTAGAACTGATCTAAACCAAAACAGAGCAGAACAAAAAAGCTGAACTATAACTGAACATGTATTGAACTGGAGCTTAATAGGAACGGAACTACAACTGAAATAGAATTGAACTAGAACTGAATTAGAACTGAACTTGAACAAAACTATAACTACAACTGAAATAGAATTGAACTAGAACTGAATTAGAACTGAACTTGAACTAAACTACAACAAAAACTAGAACTAAAGTGAACTAGAACTTAAACACAACTAAAATAGAAGTGAACTAAACTAGAAATGAACTAGAAGTAAACTAGAACTGAACTAGAACTGAACTAGAACTGAACTAGAACTAAACTAGAACTGAACTAGAACTGAACTAGAACTGAACTAGAACAGAACTAGAACTGAACTAGAACTGAACTAGAACTGAACTAGAACTGAACTAGAACTGAACTAGAACTGAACTAGAACTGAACTAGAACTGAACTAGAAATGAACTAGAACTGAACTAGAACTGAACTAGAACTGAACTAGAACTGAACTAGAACTGAACTAGAACTGAACTAGAACTGAACTAGAACTGAACTAGAACTGAACTAGAACTGAACTAGCTGAACTAGAACTGAACTAGAACTGAACTAGAACTGAACTAGAACTGAACTAGAACTGAACTAGAACTGAACTAGAACTGAACTAGAACTGAACTAGAACTGAACTAGAACTGAACTAGAACTGAACTAGAACTGAACTAGAACTGATCTAGAACTGAACTAGAACTGAACTAGAACTGAAACTAGAACTGAACTAGAACTGAACTAGAACTGAACTAGAACTGAACTAGAACTGAACTAGAACTGAACTAGAACTGAACTAGAACTGAACTAGAACTGAACTAGAACTGAACTAGAACTGAACTAGAACTGAACTAGAACTGAACTAGAACTGAACTAGAACTGAACTAGAACTGAACTAGAGCTGAACTAGAACTGAACCAGAACTGAACTAGAACTTAACTAGAACTGAACTAGAACTTAACTAGAAACTGAACGAGAACTTAACTAGAACTAAATTAGAACTGAACTAGAACTGAACTAGAACTGAACTAGAACTACTAGAACTGAACTGAACTAGAACTGAACTAGAACTGAACTAGAACTGAACTAGAACTGAACTAGAACTGAACTAGAACTGAACTAGAACTGAACTAGAACTGAACTAGAACTGAACTAGAACTGAACTAGAACTGAACTAGAACTGAACTAGAACTGAACTAGAACTGAACTAGAACTGAACTAGAACTGAACTAGAACTGAACTAGAACTGAACTAGAACTGAACTAGAACTGAACTAGAACTGAACTAGAACTGAACTAGAACTGAACTAGAACTGAACTAGAACTGAACTAGAACTGAACTAGAACTGAACTAGAACTGAACTAGAACTGAACTAGAACTGAACTAGAACTGAACTAGAACTGAACTAGAACTGAACTAGAACTGAACTAGAACTGAACTAGAACTGAACTAGAACTGAACTAGAACTGAACTAGAACTGAACTAGAACTGAACTAGAACTGAACTAGAACTGAACTAGAACTGAACTAGAACTGAACTAGAACTGAACTAGAACTGAACTAGAACTGAACTAGAACTGAACTAGAACTGAACTAGAACTGAACTAGAACTGAACTAGAACTGAACTAGAACTGAACTAGAACTGAACTAGAACTGAACTAGAACTGAACTAGAACTGAACTAGAACTGAACTAGAACTGAACTAGAACTAAACTAGAACTGAACTAGAACGGAACTACAATGAACTAAAATTTAATTAGAACCGAGCTAGAACTAAACTAGAACTTAACTAGAATTGAACTATAACTAAATTTGGATTGATGTAGAACACAACTAAAGATTATTAAAAACTGACCCAGAACTTAATTAAAATTGACCGAAAACTGAACTGATCGAGAACTGAATATAATATGAAAAACTCTAAAGCCCAAAATCATCCATTAATTGTAACAAAAATTTCAAACATTTGGAAACTCTTACTCTGCTACCGCTAATCATACTCATCTAATTGATTTTTCATACAACAATTTATGACGTCTGGCACGTTACTCATTTATTTATTTTTCTTCAAAGTAACAGCAAAAGGAAGAACAACAGAATGAGTACTAATCCAAACCAAATACAAGTAATACCATCAATAAAACGTGCATTTCACGATCACTTCCACCGAAAACTACCCATTAAAACCCTCTTCATTACAACCTAACAGATACTCCATGACAGTAACCATAAAATACAAAAATTACTCATGCAAATAGTACCTTCTCTTAAAAAAATATTCAATGAGTACAAACATATAGTCGCTCGCTCTTATTTGAAAATAACAACAAAACCAATGTTTAGCTCTTAATTAAAACGAACGTTTTCAAAAATTTGTATCCAAAAGCTAAAGGTTCCACAACAAAGAGTTCAGTTAAACGAGGCAATTCATGGGAATTTGACGTGTGTGTTTTTTATTTATTTTTAATAATTTTTTTAACTTTTATTTATTTTATGGTAAAAAAAGTGATTGCTCAAAAAAAGAATTTTTAGCATTAAATACAATAATAAAAATAACAAAAATATGTTGGTGGTTTGTGGTAATTTAAAGAAAATCTTTTAAATTGTATAAAAGAAAATGTCAAAAATGTGTCTAGAAAAAGAAACCCCTCAATACATTCCATCGTTTTTCAAGATTATTTTGTGGTCTTTTTGAAGATTTTGTGTCATTTTTTTACTTTGTTTGTGTTAATTATTTTTTTGTTTATTTTTGGTGTTAATTTTTGTTTAGCATAATTTCCTTTATTAGAACTACATAAAATTTGGAAGATTTTATAAAATTCTATAGAAAAATAAAAATATTTACTTAACGAAATTAAAAATTTAAAAATATTAAACGGAAAAGTGAACGCTTATATGTAATTTGAGAAATAACAAAAAGTCATTAACCTGCCAGAAGACGTTCTATATAAGTGACTTCCACCCGGTTCAACATTATGCATATACCACAGAAATTTTATTGGAAATAATCAGCAAAATGCAAGAGTAATAATAAATGTAAGTATAGGAAAACAATTTTTAAAAAATTTTGTAAACTTTCAACAGGGTGTTTTAAGTAAAGATGTTATTTTGTGATCTTTTAAGAAAAAGAAAAATTATTCGGAGAAAATCTACTACCAGAACTGAACCAGAACTGAACTACAACTGAACTAGAACTGAACTAGAACTGAACTAGAACTGAACTAGAACTGAACTAGAACTGAACTAGAACTGGACTAGAACTGAACTAGAACTGAACTAGAACTGAACTAGAACTGAACTAGAACTGAACTAGAACTGAACTAGAACTGAACTAGAACTGAACTAGAACTGAACTAGAACTGAACTAGAACTGAACTAGAACTGAACTAGAACTGAACTAGAACTGAAATAGAACTGAACTAGAACTGAACTAGAACTGAACTAGAACTGAACTAGAACCGAACTAGAACTGAACTAGAACTGAACTAGAATTTATCTAGAACTAAATCATAATTGTTCTAGAATTGAACTAGCGTTAAGTAACTCCCCCTAGAAAGTTTCTTGAAATACAGACGTATAACGATCTCTATTATCAATTCGATACTACGGAGAATATTTAGGCCCGTAATTTCGAAAGAAGTTTAACGCATTGGTCAATTCTGCATCGCCGTTATTAACGAATTGATAACTACATGAAGATGCAATTTTGAGCCGAGAATAAGTATTCTATAAATTTGACTTACACGATTAAACAAATCGCAGAAATCAGAGGGGAAAAGAAATATACAACACACCTGGTACCAAATTGACACCAAACTGTTTATAATTTTTCAATACCATCGGTTGTCAAAGTATATACATATGTACGACAACACTATGTAATGTTGACAACATTGCAACAATTCGTTGTCGAGATCTAAATTTTATACACATTCGTTGTCTAAATGTTAACAAACGTGGTAAGCTCACTATTGACAAACAATCCGTTGCTAATACTGAGTTTATGTATATACTTTGACAACGGATGTTATTGAAAAATTATAACCTCTTTGGTGTGAATTTGTTTTTTTTATAATATTTGAGGGATTCAGCTTCAGAAAATAAAATGAAAAACTACATATTTCAAAGATTAAAGTATTAAAAGAAAACTATTTATTAATAATGAATATGAAATTAAAATAAATTAACCTTATATTTCATAATTATAATTGAATTGCTCTTTTTAATAATTATAATTATTGATTATGAAATTTTTAAGATAATAATTCTGTTTGTTATCTATGCAAACAAACAAATGGAAAAAAGTCACTTTTCTTCTCTCTATATTAAATAATTTCATTCATTAAATAATTTTTTTAGCAATGGAAATACAAAATGAAAAAAATTATGACATTTCATATCACACGTTATGTTTCCATACGTAATTTACGCCAGTATAAATAGTTTGTTATTGTTTTTATATATATTTTTTAACTTAGTGATAAAAAATATAGTAGTATTCCTACATAACCAAGTTAAAACGAAAAACTTGTCTTGTTATAAACAAATAAATGGCGAAAAAGGCAATTAAAAAAACTTTAAGTTAAGATAAAAATATAGAAATAAGTGTTTGTTGGGGTCAAATTTTAAATATTGCATGACTAGTATACTACTATATGTAGTAAGTATGTAAATATAAAAGTAGTAATTAAAAAAAAAAATAGTGGCACAGTAGATTTTACAACGAATTTAGCAATACTCTATCACTATTATAAACTACTTGTTTGAATTTTTGCCGACCCTAACAAAAGTAGCGGATTTAAACTTACATTTGTTATCTATAAAATAATCTCTATATCAAGAATATTTATGATTTCTAATAATTTTTACATTTCATATAATAGTATAAAGTTATAGTACGTCCTCTGTAAAGTACATTTACCCTGAGGTCGGGACTAACTTGGTAAACAATTTTATTTCAATAGTTATTCGAAATTGGTTTTAAAAACCAATAGCCGATAAGTTATCCCGTAGAATCCTCCTAAAAATTCCTTGCGTTAGGACCCAATAGATAGTTTAAACCAGTAAATCATAGCCGGAAGATAGCTAACTAGAGGATTTGTCTCGTTGCATCCATAATTATTATTCCTAATAAGCCTTCATTAGCTGATTCCCCAGTGGGGAATCATTCTAATCTTTATCAGCGGCTACGTTTAAGCCGGCTTAGCTTTTGAGCCGAAAGAAGTCGGCGGCGGCGCGGCTTGCAAAATATTACCGTCGGCCAGCCGCCGCCGATTTGAGCCGTCTCGGCTTGTATCTCTGTTCCCCACCTAACCGAAAGACATCCGAAGTTCTAATTTTAGCGCATCCTTTATAGTTGCTATTTTCGAGGCCTAGTTACGACCCAATAAGAAATTAATCTATGAGAGTATCTTTTCTTTATGTAATCATAACTAAAAACTGACCAAGAGCTGAATCATTCAATCGTAGTTATTCGGCTTATTCCTAATACTTAGCCGAACGACAAGAGAATTATTTAACTCCATAGTTCGAGGGAATCTAAAGATATAACATAGCTCCATAGTTTCAAAAGTTGGCCACCGAAGAACCTGGAATGATTTAGCGTACCGCGGTTGAAAACTATACAAAAAATACATATGCGAAGAACCGACCCCATTTCTGAATCTAGTGGGAAAATTAGGAACACAACCATCAGTTAAAGCCAATTCAAAGAATACAGAAGTTGGTAAAGAAGCAGTAACTGTACCAACTCTTTAGGTTCTATAACTAATCGGCAACACAACGGGATTGACTTCTTTCAGAACATCAAACAAACTGAACTTTATCACCAGAATGGAAACGAAACGGATCCGAAGAATAACCATTATCGTAGTCTTGGTCACTCGTATAGATTTCAGATGGACTATCACTTCAGGCAAACTATGTTGGGTGGATTTAACCAAGCATATAAGTAGAAGTTTGTCACCAGGAAAAAATGGAAAAAAAGAACTGTAGATCTAGAAAGTCGTTAACAGACCAGCGATCCATTAAGGACACTTCAGGCGGTATCAGTTAACTGAATTTACTTGTTACGAAAGGACGAGTTTTTCACCGGAATGGAACTGTACTACTTCTTCTGACAGTGTACTACTTCAAACTTTAGAGGAGGAAAAGTTAGGAAAATATACGATGAATACTAAAATCCCAATTTTTTGGAAAATAACAAAATTCAGATTCAAAATTTCGAATGGTTATATCGGGGAAATACGCAAATCTTTCAGTTTCAGCGACAGTTTTAAGATCATGGATAAAGAAATACATGCAATTGACCGTGTAGAAGTTAAGCTGCCTAATACGGAAAGAATCTCAAACATTCCTCCTGGGATGGTACCGGTGAAGTTAACGCGAAAGAAAACCTGTTGCGAAAGCAAGGGTTCTGACTTAACAGAAGTCGAAAGGAAGCAACATACTTAATTCCAGCAAGCTCCAACTTGTGATCTAAGTTCTCATAAAACCACACATTCAACTTCCCAAACAATTACACTTGAATCTGTAAGCACTCGGGAAGTGTGCAAATCTTTAGGCTTAAACCACGAAACAGAATGTTCGGATAAGAAACAATTTTAATTTAAGCTGTTAACTATAAAACTTCGGACTTAGTAATCCATTTGGAAACAGAACAGAACTCAACGCTCTATGGCGCGGAATCACAGCTAGCTGTCTTTGGCGTCTTTCGAGAGGAAAATACATGGACCTATCTGTGTTCTTGAAGAATATCTGCACCGTATGAACCATGAACTTTTAAATTAAAATTAATACAATAGTTAGGACATGTTGCGAGAATTGGTGACAATGATCCAAATGATATTCGAATGTCCCGGAGGGAAGACGCAGAATAGGGCGATCAAATCTGCGATGGAAAGATCAAGAAGAGGAACTTTAGAAGGAGGAAGTAAACAGCCTGTTACAAGAAACGGACTCAGAAAATGACGATTATTTTTATATGGTGACTCGATCCTAATAATTTCTTACATAAAGTCTTGCTTTAGAGGGAAGAAAAGAAACAAACCAAGCCTTGGCTATAACGAGAAAAGAAGATTTAAAATACGAGCGAACAAAGACGATTATGATCTGATCTTGTAAATGGGCAAAATAAAAGGCAAAAGTTGACAACCGTTATCAGAAAAAATAGTTACAAATTATTTACCTATTAGAATCTAAGGGTATACTGACTAGAAATATCAACAGCGAAAAGTCGTAATAACTTTTTGGATCTTCATTAAGAGAATTTTAAAGGGAAAATTTTGATTGAATGAGCAATGAGCAATCCGTAGATAGATAAAAGATATTTGCTTTATCAGTTAAAAAATCGGATCAAAAGTTTATCTCAAGTATATAGTTTCTATCTGATCTTTAGCCATGAAATTCAAACTGAAAACTTTTGCACATGATCAAGTTTTTTACCCCCATAATTTGTTAATGAACCGTAAATGACGTTTAGAACTTTAAGAATTTAAAAATTCTGTACAATATTATCCAAAAAGTAAATTAATCACTTTTTCAGAAAAACTAAAACAATTTAAAATGTTTTCTTTAATTTAAGAAAATCAAAATGATTCAATTGTTTAAAGATAAATGGATGATAAATTTACATAAATCTTCCTTCAATGAATATACAAAAAAAATGATTAAACAACAATTTTCAATTGAAATTTAGTTTTTAGGAAACTGTTTTTCTCTCAATTGTTTATAATCTCTGCCATAATGTTAAAGAACAGAAAAATATTAAGTTTGCAAAAAAAAAAAAAAAAAAAAAAAAAACTTTAACAAAAAATGTTTACGCAATTAACGCATAATAAATATAAACAAAATAATTTAATTTTTACTCATTTTGTACACATACACACTATTAAAAGTAGTTTTAATTTAAACGAGAAAAAAAAGAACTAAATCATCAAATGTTTCATTTTGTTGTGGAAACATGTGCTCCGGTGACCATATAATGCACACTACACTCTGGTTGTATCATGTGTGCGAGGTTTTAACCCAAATTGACG